ACACAATGGAATACTATGCAGCCATCAAAAGAAATGAAATGTTGCCATTTGCAATGACGTGGATGAAACTAGAGCGTATTATGCTGAGCAAAATAAGTCAATCAGAGAAAGACAATTATCATATGATCTCTCTGATATGAGGAATTTGAGAGGCAGGGTGGGGGGTCGTGGGGGGTAGGGAAGGGAAAAATGAAACAAGATGGGATTGGGAGGGAGACAAACCATAAAAGACTCTTAATCTCACAAAACTGAGGGTTGCTGGGGGACGGGGGGGTATGGAGAGGGTATTTGGGTTATGGACCCTGGGGAGGGTATGTGCTATGGTGAGTGCTGTGAAGTGTGTAAATCTGACGGTTCACAGACCTGTACCCCTGGGGCTAATAATACATTATATGTTAATAAAAATAATTAATTAAAAAAACAAGAGAGTATGAAACAACCAAAAAATATAAAAAACAAAACCTGATAGACCTGTATACCAAGAAGAATGAATTTTCTTGTATGTAGATTTTAAAATAAATTTCAAATATGACAAAATTTCAGGTTTCTTGACAGTAGAGCCTATATCTGAATCAAATTTATACCTCCTCAGAGAGTCTGGTATGTTGCCCTATGGTTAATAGTCATGTATTAAAGAAAATGATGGTGGTGTGGGGCGGGAGGGTGAGCAGCTGCCTTCTGCTCAGGTTATGATCCCAGAGTGCTGGGATCGAGCCCAGCCATCCCCACTGTGGGGCTCCCTGCTCAGTGGGGAGTCTGCTTCTCTCTCTCCCTCTGCCCCTCCCCCCACTCGTGCTCTCATGCTCTCGCTCTCTCTCAAATAAATAAATAAAATCTTTAAATATAAACAAAGTAAATAATAACTAGGGGTGCCTGGGTGGCTCAGTCAGGTTAAGCATCCCACTCTTGATCTCAGCTCAGGACTTGATCTCAAGAGTTGGGAATTCAAGCCCCAGACTGGGCTACTTAACAAAACAAAACCAAAGCCAAATAAAAAAAATCTTTAAAAAAGGGGGGGGCACCTGGGTGGCTCAGTGGATTAAGCCGCTGCCTTCGGCTCAAGTCATGATCTCAGGGTCCTGGGATCGAGCCCTGCATTGGGCTCTCTGAGTGGGGAGCCTGCTTCCCCCTCTCTCTCTGCCTGCCTCTCTGCCTTCTTGTGATCTCTCTCTCCGTCAAATAAATAAATAAATAAAATCTTAAAAAAAAAAAAAAAACCAATGTCAAAACAAAACAAAAAAACCATTTAAACTACATGATTAAATCGAAATTACTTTTTGGCGACAAGCATTAACACCTTTAGGACAATTATTCTCTCATTCCCATAGTCCAATACTGGCAAGAGGTTGCCGTTTCTCAAGGACTGACAAGCTTCCAGCTCTAGAGAGAGCACAGTTACCCAGAGAGACACTCCCTGAGGTACTGTCAAGCCAGGTCAGTGTGCCCCGAGGCTTCCAAAGAAACAAACCCTCAGTCTGACCTGACCAACCATCCACCATCTCTCTTCAGTCCATTCTGACTCAATTTCTGGTACCTCCTTCCCAGAATTTCTACGCTGGTGTTAAACCCATGCAAGCAATAACCTTTCGCTGGGTCACTGAGGTTTGCAGGTGTGACCTTCTCACCAAGGCCCTGGAGCACATAGAGGGCACACACGTCCCAGGTGGAATTTGTTCCCCAGAGTGTGTGATGGGGCCATGGGGGGCGGGGAGGGTGGGGATGCATCAGCTTTTGAATCAGAGCACCTGCATTCAAGGGGATGCTGAGACTGACCTTCCAAATCTGTGAAGAGGAACAAACGAGGTCCTATTTGTGGAAGTTTTATAAGATACTCTATAAAAATAATTTACTGCAATGAGTTCTTATCTCTTTGTGTCCCTCCCCAGAATGGCCAGCCCACCCAGACCCTGCATTCCCTAGGACTCAGATCTGCCCTTTCCCAGCATCCCGGCCCCAGCAATTCCCGCTGTGTTACCCTAACGTTGGCCTCTGTTATCACTAGAGGCTTCCCAGGTCACCACCCTGCCTCTGGTTTTTTCCTGGAAAGGAGTAGGAAGGACGCAGATCCATGTGGAGGTGAATCCTGGTTTTGCTTCTGGCCTCTGGGGACCTGGCTTAATCCTTTCCAGCTGTGAAATGGGCACAATAAAGCTTCCCTGAAAACAGGAGAAGCAATGTTGGTCAGACACCTGGCAAAACAAGCCATCAGTACATCGTAGCTGTTAAGACCGACCCCTCCCCCTCTCCTCCCGCCCCTCCCGTGCCAGATCAACCGTCCAAAACTGGGTTCGGCTCCAAATCCACCTGCCGCCGCTCACAGGCCGGAAGTGAAGGAGGAACTCCTGGCTTGGGAAGCACGGATCGATCTCAAGGGGAAATCGGAGAGACCGTCCAGCACGCGGGGATGGCTAAGACATCAAGGCCTGAGGGAGGAATCAAGGCTGTGAGTAAGCTGGGGCTTGGGGAGGGATGATCGACATCCACCTGATCTCGCAGAGAGAGGTCCAGACCTTGGAAGAAAAAAGCAAAATAAGGAGAGGAGAGGAAGCAGAACGAGGGCCTAGTATACATTCTTTTGGCAACTAGAGTGAGGAAAGGGGGGCACGCAGGGGCAGTCTGGGAAAAAAAAAACACAAACCTGGGGCAAGCGACACCAGGCTGCCCTGGCAACAGACTCCGTCCTCCCAACCCCCACCGCAAGTCCGGAGAGTCCTAAGGGAGTAGGTAAAATGAGCAAAAAAACAACCTTCCTTTTCTTTTTTTTTTGGTAGGCTGCTGAGATTTGGGGGAAGGGTGGGTGGTGGTTGTACCATCATAGTGAACACTGACCTTTACGAAAATTCTGGGACTTGGAAGTAAGTAGGACAGTTTAAAAAGAGAGGTATGGGTCCAAGAGGGCTGTCATTCAGGGTTGAGTAAGTCGCAGTCCAGGTCGTGCAATGGCAAAACCTTTGTTAAAATTATCCTCTGAGATGACTTGGTAGGAAGTTCATTTAGCCAATAAGGTTTTGGCTTTGCGTAAGGCCGTGGGAAAACAGAGTTTCGGGTAGCATGAGGGTCTGTTGGGTGCACTTGAAAAAAAGGTTATAAAGCCAACTACATTTTTTAGGAAGCTATAGCATGGAAAGAACCTTAATCTAAACTAGGAGAAACGGTGACTATTTCGATACTTGAAATAACCTCTGGGTCTCCCAACATTTTACAGGAAGGAAGCAAGCTGAGGTCGTAGCTCAGCCTTCATGGGGATCGTGTGGTCCCAGATCTGTTTCAGATATGGCCGCTGGGTTTGATGGTGTAGATGGAGCGTCCTAGACAGTGGACCCGCGAGCCATACAGAGTGACTTCCAGGGACAGAACCAAGTCACTTCCCCCAATCCCAGATAGGCAGCCTTCCATCTTTCCCCTACCCGAGAAAGTTTATTATGGTTAACCTTTCCTGTTCTACTGTTCTGTGTTGGTAAATGTTGGGGAGGGGAGGGTCTGGAAGTCAAGGACTTTCTCCCGATCATAGGTAGGGAACTTTTAGAGGGGCTTATGGAAATATATGATAATTAGGGGCGCCTGGGTGGCTCAGTGTGTTAAGCCTCTGCCTCAGCTCAGGTCATGATCTCAGGGTCCTGGGATGGAGCCCTGCACCGGGCTCTCTGCTCAGCGGGGAGCCTGCTTCCCCCTCTCTCTGCCTGCCTCTCTGCCTGCTTGTGATCTCTCTCTCTCTCTCTGTCAAATAAATAAATAAAACCTTTAAAAAAGAGTTCTGCAACTTACTTCCGGCTGTGGGCTGCCCTTCTTTCAGCGGAAGAGCCCGAGATGTACTTCAACACCGAAATCCTCCTCATGAGGCTGAAGGGGAACTTCTGGTCGAGCTTCAGCGCGACGCGCTCAGAGAGGTCGATGGAGTAGCAGTAGGTGAGGCCGTCTGAGGTCGGCGTGTTAAGTAAAACTAAGGCAGCTCACGGGAGGAGGGCCGGACACGTTCCCGTAGCACACACGTTCCCACGTTTATCCCACAGAGGGATGAGCACCTGCTCTACCCTACGCTGACGCTGACGCTCGGGGGAAACCAAGAGTTGTGCTTCTGTCCCCGGCCCCTCAGAGGGAACAAGGCCCGGCAGTAGAGGATGGAGGCGGTCTCGATACCCGCTGCAGGGACTGACAGTTTCTTGTCCGCTTGTCCCCAAACTGAAGGCACTCTGCCTCGATGTGACCGAGTGAGCCTCACGTGGGCCTCACTGGCAGTACTTGCCCCACGTGGTCACCACCCCCCGGAAGTGGTCTGAGGTCATCCAACCTGTGTCAACCCGCCACCACCTAGGCGGCCATAAAGACTTTCATCTTTATGACTATCGTCAGCTTTTGTCTGTCCGTCTAGCCATCTATCCATCCCTTTGACAAATACTTAATGAACACCCATGATACACCAGGAACTGAGGAACGAGTGCCAGAAAGGAGTAAGTCTTTGGGACAGAGGAAGTGGTGATAAGCCATAGCTTATCTCTGAAACAGCAGGCTGGGGACCCTCACCCAGCGTAGGGAAATAGAGAAGGCTTTCCCCGGGAGGCGAGGTGCGTGCTGAACCCTGAACTGTGAGCGGCGGCGGCAGCTGGCGGAGGGTAGTGGTGGAGAGAAGGTAAGGAAGCCCCGGGAGCTGTTCCTTGAGGCCGTGTTCTCCGCTGGATGCTACTGGCAGTCTGATCAAGACGAGTCTGCTAGGTGAGACTGGTCCACTCATTACTGGACATTCGGTGTCCCCAGTCACCGGCCACCAAGTGGCAGCAGCACCTGGCCACTGTGAAAACCAAAAATGCCCCTGCATGCTTCTATGTCCTCTCAGGGAAGGCAGTATTATTTCCAAAGACTGATTTCCAGTGACAACCAGGGCTGCGAAGAAGTCCGAAGTTGTCCCGGCTGATGACTTCAGAATGCTCTTAACAATCAATTCTGTTTCTAACTCTGACCAAGTCCTGGTACCAGACTAGTCCTCCCACCACAGATAACTGTAAGCTGGACACAGTATTTTATGCAACGATCTTCACACTTTGGACAGCAAACACTGAACAATACTAAGTAGTCTGATGTATGTGTAATTGGTACCCTAGAAGGAGAGGAGGAAACAGGATAGGAAAAAAAAATCTTGGGGACATAGTGATGCTAATTTTTTTAGACTAGATGAAAACTCTAAATTCAAAGATCCGAGATCCAATGATCAACTCCAAGCAAGGCCAACGCAAAGAATATCACCACAAAGGCATATGATAATTAAATAGCTGAAAACCAGTGATAAAAAATAGTCAAAGGAGCCAGAAAAAAAACAATGAATTATGTAAGGAAAATAGTAAGAATGACTACTGATGCCTCATGAGAAAATGATACAAACCATTAAGTCATGCAATGACATCTTCAAAAGTGAAAGAAGATCAGAGAAGGCCAGAATTCTGTATTTAGTGAAATAAAGGCATTTTTAAGAACCAAAAGCTGAATTTGTCACCAGCATACCCACTGTATAAGAAATGTTAAGTGAGGTTCTTCAGGCAAGAGGAAAATGATACCAGAAGGAAACTTGGATCCACACAAAAGAATGAAGAGCATTAGAAGGGGGCCTGGGTGGCTCAGTCAGTTAAGTGTCTGCCTTTGGCTCAGGTCAT